GAATTTGGAAAGCAGATAACTCAATGCAAGCCACGGTGCTGAGGATCCAGCGAGGACCTAAAAGATGTAAAACCCACTCTCGCCGAGATCCCAACACTTGGATAGTAATAGGCAGTGAATAATCCCGCGTGCATATCCCGAACCCAGCAAGCCGTGTCTCTCTGGAATTCCCATTGTTACTGGTCCGTGCAGGTCATCTACCGAGTGCATGACTGCATGGAGATGTTGAGCACAAATCCCGGATGCATTGCGTTCTGCGCGATTGGCGTGGGTATTTTCACTCGCGTCCTGTCATGAGAAGAGATCCTGCACTGCCCCGACAAATCGAGAAAAATATGATGTGCATCAGGGGACTATTGAGGACGCGTGCCAGCCCGACATGGAGCATCGTGAATTCTCGACCCATGCCCAATCAGAGTCGACGCGATGAAGATCAGCCATGCAGATCGCTAGGCCGGGGGACCCAGAGCAGCGGCCCGGTTGAAGGTTCGACCCGCAAGGCTCCGCATCGTCTTAACCCCGCCGACGCCTCGAGTTGCCGGCAGACACCTGTGGACGGGGTCCCTGGAGATATCTGGCCAGGGAGCGGTGGTAGACCGCCGCAGACTAGCGAAACTCTAGATCCTTCTTCAGCCCGCCACCGCGGAAAGATCATGGGGAAAAATGACGATCGCTGGAAGTGATCTCCGGACATGCCTGACGGAGGATCCAGACGACGCTAGACCATCGCGGAAGCCCGAGAGCTCTGCCAGGTTAGCAATTGAGGAATAGAGCCCGCTCACTTAGCTTCTCTGAGGAAAGACTGGCGGGATCGGATCAGCGAGGAGGCTTCGACGGGGCCAGCGTGCGCCGAGATCGTTCGTGCGTGACAATGCTGATCCATTCCCGATCCGTATGCAGGCTCCGGGTCGGCCTGAACTCAGACTAGACTTTGACATGCAGTCGAGTTGTCAACAATGCAAGACATGGATAATCCTTCGTTTATGATCCAGAGGCCTCTGATGATGCTGCCGCTCCTTGGTCCCTCTGGACGCCACATCAAGGCAGAGGAGATTAGATCAAGAATAATCGCCTGTCCTTTCCCGTTGTGTCCAAGCCCGCGATCGTGGCGCAATGCCTCATGCATTCTGGGATCTGTTCTTTCGGCGTTCGTTTGGCTAGTCTGCGGTGAAATTCAGGGTTGTCCCGCGGGCCGCAAGCTACCGAAGTCTTCCACGGCTCCACCTCGTGAAGAATCTAAGACGACGTCAACTACTGCACGGAAAGAAGTCTCAACCAATCATACACATGGCAAAGGGCCTTTGGGGAGAGACCATACCTGCGTTCAAGGCTGTCAAAGATGCTTTTCAGCGAGAGGCACGAGATGAACTGCGAACAACTACCGCCCACTTTTTGGGAGGACCAGAGGGGGACAAAAAAAACGCATGACTAATGAAAAAGAAAAAGCACCTGCTTCGAGCGACCCGTTCCCGACAGATTGCTCCACTCGGTGTTGAGCCTCACAGCATTTCCAGGACTCCCAGGAGGGCTTGCGCCGTGTTGATCCAAGGCAAAGGCGTCGTTTGGAATGGATGCCTCGAAACCTGTCTTGCGCGCACGCCCCTCAGGAACGAGCCTTGACAGGTGGTGTATCATTCCCCGCCGGCGCATGTATGTGACATGGCCTTGAGCAAAGAACTGCCGTCGGTATTTGCTATATAATTGCTACCTCCATTCGGCCAGAGGCAGTCAGGTATCCATACTCATATGGTTCTTTCCTGTCTTTGGACTGCGACGTAAAACCGAGTAAGACGCTGTGGAGGCTGTTGATAAGCCAACATGGAGCCCTTCGGCCCTCAGCCAGCTCCGAAGACGTTCGTTCTCTGTTTTGACGGCACTGGCAACAAGTTCAGCGGTGACGAGTCCGATAGCAATGTGCTCAAGATCTTTCGCGTAAGTCGCCTGCCGTGCGAAGATTGCAATTCCTCCCGCGCAGGGGAAGTAGTGGCTGATAGACGATCTTTTAGATGCTGGATCGCAGCAAGGGTAACCAATACCACTACTATCAGCCAGGGATTGGTACCTATGTGACGTCCACATCACTGTCCAATACAGGCACTTTTCATCGGATCAAGTCCGCCTACTTGAAGGCCAAGGATTCCGCTATCGGATCATCGTTTGACCAGCATGTCATGGGCGGGTATAAATTCCTGATGCGGTATTATAGCCCTGGCGACGAGATTTACTTCTTTGGCTTCAGCCGCGGCGCCTATATCGCGCGCTTCTTGGCCGAAATGCTTGACTATATTGGCTTGCTCGAAGCTGGAAACGAAGAATTGATCCGATTTGCATGGAAAACCTTTGCTAAATGGCAGCAGCGGAGAGGAAACACGGAAGAGGACCAAGAAAAGAAGAGACAACTGTTCAACTATATGAAAGCTTTCCGCGAAACGTTCAGCCGGCCCATCAGTCGGATTCGATTTATGGGCCTCTTTGACACCGTCAACAGCGTGCCCCGGTTCGAATCGGCTTGGATGCAGAGGAGCAAATTTCCATATACTGCCCGAAGTTCAGCCCGAGTCATCCGCCACGCGGTGGGAATTGACGAGCGACGTGCCAAGTTCCGTCAAGACCTTATTTCCGAAGTCAAGCCGTGGCAGCGATCTCCGAGAGGAGCTCACCTCTTGAAACGACACCTGCATTATATCAAGCCTGATAAGGATAACGTCCCCAAAATTATCCTTAACAACGACCCGGAGAATCAAGAACTAGGTAATCAGGAAGAGGAGCCATCAAAAAGGGAGCAGAATGAGACCGAATCCGTGTACCGTACTCCTCGCGGCTCGCGCCCGGGCAGTCTCCGCAACGAGCAGCGATACCGAGCGCCCTCACCTAATAGCAGGAATCGGCAGCTGAACCTCGCGGTGCCCATCCCGACGGCCTCGACTGAGGACTTGGCCTCGATTAACAGTGGCATCTCTGCAACCTCTCTTCAGGTGCCATTGAGGGTGATCGAAGAGGACGAGAGCGCTCAAGACATCCGGGAAGTCTGGTTCCCCGGTGGACATGCCGACATCGGAGGAGGATGGAAGCTCAGCAAGGGAGAAATATGGCCACTGAGCCACGCCCCCCTTGTTTGGATGGTCCAGGAAGCACAACGGGCAGGACTGCAGTTCGATCCCAAGAAACTGAAGCAGTTAGAGTGCTGCGAGGAATACGTGGGCGAAGTCTCGCCCATCCGCGAACTCCAGGAGCCAACGTGGACTGTCTGTCAAGAAGCGGAGGGCCACAGTGAAAGAAAGGATGGTCCGGATGGGATCTCGATCAAGGTTCCAGACAATGAGGATGATAGGAATCAGAGTGTGGCAAGCTATCGCTTCCGCAATGCCCTGGAGCTCTCGAGCACCAAGGGGGTTCTGCATGACTGCCTCAAGTACGGCAAAGGGCTGCCGTGGACATCAGTGCTCGTCTGGCGTCTCATGGAGTATCTTCCGTTCCGGCGCATGGACTTGCAGCCCGACGGCTCATGGAAGCCCATCCGGTGGCCCTTGCCGTGTGGAGAAGTGCGCGATATCCCCAACGATGCACAGATCCATGTCTCTGCCATCCGCCGCCTCAAAGCAGATCCCAACTACCGCCCCGGGAACCTGATCATCGGCGGCGGAGGACGGGGCGTGAAAAGAGTGCCGCCGGAATACGGTATTGGCGAGTGGGTGGTGTTCAAGGACGAGGGTGACCCGGTGCGGGAGACGTATATCCGGAAGAGTGAGGCCAAAAAGGTGCAAAGGGGGGAATAAGGTAGCCGTTTGGATGGAATGATGGAATTTATATGGCGTGCCTGCATTTTTGCACGTTCATTGCGTCTCATCGCTGGGGAAAAAGAAAGGCAGAGAAAAGAAAAGGGGCCAGTTTATGGTATACGGACTGAACCGTGTTTCCCCTGACTCGTTCATAGCAAACATGCACCATAACTCCGCTCCCTTTTTTTTTCTTAGTCAATCCTTAGCTTGAACCGCAATAATGATCCTGTTATCCAGTGGTATAGGCGATCTGAAGGTAAACTGTGTTCGGTTTCTCGTCACAAGGTCAGAGGCTCAGCGTCCGCTTGCCAAGACGTCAAGGGTGCAGACAGGCGGTGGAGCCGACGATAGGATGCGCGGAGTGGCGCTCAACGTGCGCGTCGGACAGAACGTGGCATGCAGTGTGTGCTGCATGTCGACTGTCCTGCTGTTGTCGGCGACTCGATTGCATCAACGAGTGTGTCGTCTGTCGATGTCGTGGAGAGTCCGCAAGCGGAAGGCTGGAAGTGACAGTCGAGTCCAGACTGCAGACTCTGACGGAGTTGGCAGTTGACAGTAGATGGCTGTCGTTCCCCACGAGGCCAGCTGTGGCACCGGGAGATCCCCGAGATCCGATCCCGCGGGCGCCCCGACCACGCCAAGCCGCTCCTTCTCCGGCCTTCCATTTCCATGCTCTCCTCCGCCTCCCCCTTTCCTATCGCGTTGCCTGCCCAGTGCTTCCCCAGCCCCGTTCCCTCGCCTTGCAATCGGCTTCTGCGGACATGCCTGCGACCATGGCTCGCTTCTGACCCTCTGATCCTCTCCGGTCGCCCTGCCGTTCTTGTTGTGCTCCCTCTTCGGCTGCGTCTCTGTCGAATCCCAATCGGACCCATCGAGTATTCAGTCCTCAACGCGACCAGAACGCTCTCCCGGCGGCTCCCGTCCCCTGAAGCAGCATGAAATCATAATCTCCAGATCCACGCCGTCCATCGTCCAGTCCTCACGTCACCATGGTGGACTCTCCACTGCCTCCTGAACAGATAAGGCTGCCTCCCAGCCCAACTGAACCCGAATCCCAGGGCCACTCCTCTCAGGAGGCTGGCAGATCAAAGCTGCTGGGAGATGCTGCGCCAATTCCCCCGCTGTCTCCCAACTTCCTCGCTCCTCCGCGGAACCGCTCACCGTTCGCACGAGCTCATACTCGATCCCGGTCTCTAGCTAGCTCTCTACCACAATCGATGACAAGAGCCCACTCTTCCCCGGGGTTGGACTCACGAGGACGTTGTATCTTTCCCTCCTATCTGGGAAGACCATCGAGTCCAATGGATCACTCGACCAGAAGACACAGTCCTCTGCGGACGACAGAGGATACAAGACCCCCCAGCCTGGCCTCTCTGACCATCTCGGAGCATGCTGAGCTCGAAACTGCTGTTGGCTCCGATTCCACCGATTCAGAACTACCGGCAACATCCCCGCCATCACCTCCATCGATTCACCACACTTATCCCCGTTCCGGCCGTCGACAGCCGTCTCCTCTGAACACCACTTTTTCCAGCGCCATAAGCAATCCCACCAGCAGCCCGACTTCCTCACGTTCATCCCCAGTCATCTTGGCCACGAAATTCAATGAGCCTTATCCCGGGGCTTCGCTCTCCTCTGCGTCTTCAATGCCGTCGACTCCAACCAGCATCCGCTCCCGTAGCCCGAGCATCTCCTCTCTGGAGACTATTCCAGACATTCCCGATGCCGAAGCAGCTGCTGTCGAAGCAGATCAGATTGCACAATTAAAGCTGGCTGCAGACAACCAGGAGGCCGCAGCGGCAGCATACGCTGATAGTACTCGACGACGTTCAAATGCCGACTGTCCTAGTCCTAGCAGTATGCGGGGGTTTGGCGGCTATGGGACGAGAGCCGACAAGCGGAAGCGGTGGAGTGTCTGTGGAGCAGAGCGGCGCCAAGATTTCGATTTGGAAACCATCTGGGAGGATTGATCTCGCTTTAGAGCATTCTAACCCTCAAAGTACAGCTTCTCGCTGTCAGGCTTTTCCTTCTCGTCGGAGCTTTCTTCAACGGACAAAGAGTCGGCGTTGTATCATTACGAAACCCTGCATTTCGCGAAAGAGCGGTTTTCTTTTACCAGCACAATGGCGTTCACTCTGCATGGTGTCCTGATACCCAATTTGTCTACGGGTGAGCTACTTGTTTTTTTTTCTTCCTTCTTGCGTGTTTTTTCTTCCTTCTTGCGTGTCTTTGATGTAAATGGAAAGAAGACGGTAACTGGGATTCTCGTTATGGTGTTTACCATGTCATGCCTTTCTTTACTTGATGTCTCGGCAACGGATCTCTGCTGGCGGGGTTTGTCTGTGCATGACGTCTGGATTTTTTGTTCAGTTCCGGTGTTTATTTATTTACTCGTGGACGATAACAGGGTGGGCTGGCCCCCTTGGATGATGACTAGCTGTACATAGTCAAAGTTAGCTGCCTACATATCTAGCAACTTGCTTCTGAGCGAAATATATTATGCTTGTTTTCCAGCGATGCAGGGATGTAGGTATCATGTCAAAAACTAGCCAGGAAGCTTTGAGGAGGAGTAGAAGAAGAACAGCAATTCCAGTCAACACCACTTCCTTAATGTCACGTCATACAAAGGTCCTTCTTTACAGCCTTAAGAGGAGTCCCAGCAGTTACTGCTACCGATATTGAAAAAAAAAGCCATGGTAGAGTTGGCAGATGAGCCCACAACGCTCATGTTTCATGCTGAGATGGTGGCTCCAGCGAGTCCTCTGCAGGCTTACTCGACGTTTCTTGCGGGTTGATCACTTCACCCTCCTTCTCCCCATAGTCGAAGTCACAATCCTCCTTCTTGGGGTCACCATCACTTGCCTCGCTCGATGGCGATGGACTTATCGTCCATACCAGTTCGTGTTCGATTAGCCGGGACCCGCTTTTTGTGTCCTTCCAAAGAGATGGCCAGAGGCTTAGTAGGATGGTACTATCAGGGCTTTCCTCAGCTGTGAGGCTGTGCATTTTCTCAGGTATGAAGGCCGTTCCAGGATCACTGCTTTCAAAACGATATGTGTGTTCTTGTCGTTCCAGTCTGCGCTTGAACTTCGCGCAATTCTGCAAGAACTCTTGCAGATGCGCTGTCCTCGATTTTGACTCTGTCCCGGAGTACTGAGAAAATGCGTTTTCTACAGCTCCAACCATTTCTTGACACCATTCTTGCCATGTGGACTTCGTCAGGGATTCCAACGCAATGCTTGTGGCAGAGCGCCAGTGTTCCCACACATGATTTGCACCTGCTTATCAGTTGGCATCGTGCCCAAATGAGTGTTTGAGAGGCCTCTTACACAGATTCATTACTTCATGATTGACGGTCATCAACATCTTTTCCAGACTATCGTCGCAAACCCCAAAGATGGGGTGCGAAAAAATAACTGCATGCACGTATCTGGTAATCAAATCCTGGATAAGTTCACGGCGTTGATGTGCATTCTGGGGATAACCAGTTGCGACTACAACCTCCAACCCACTTGCATGAAGAGAGTCGACCGTCATAGTGTTCAGAATCGATGCATCACTAAAATTCTTTTTAACCCAGATATCAAGATGTCGACAGAGTTGACGTGTTAGCTGTGCACATTCCTCATCATTGAGATTGTCAGGTCGCGATTGAAGGAAATTCAGCCGTTTGGTATAGGCCGTCAACTGGTATCTATGCCGATCAGCTGCGGCTGATGCTTCTCGACGGGCTTGCTGGAGCAGTTCTCTTTGGCGTCGTATTTTCTCCTCCGCGCTCGCTTTCGCTAACTTGAGTTTCTCGACCTTCGACTTCAAGGAATGCATAATCTGGGAAAAACATGAGCTTCGTATTTCAGTCAAGTCTTCTGCTTCACTTACATTCTCTCCATGTTGAAACCTGTCTTCCTTGTGATTTTCTTGTCTTTCTGCTTGAAATTAGCCCGGACCAAGAACGAATCAGCCAGCCCTCCTGCTAAACAGTTGCTAAGTTCGCAACCGGGAATAAGAACGGTCTCGATTCCGTTTCTGCATTGTGGGGTTACTTACGTATGAGAGGCCTGTCACGACTGTTAGAGATACTTGTTCATTACCTAAGTTATGCGGATATCTTTCATTACCACGCGATCGAGAAGAGGAAAACTTACCACCAAAAAATGTTCCACATCCTGAACGTTTACAAGAAATGGCATGTCAGTCCTGGAGAGAGAAGGGAGAAAGAAAATTCAGTGTGATGAGCTCTGCTTCTGCCGTGTCAACAATCGTGGGAGGCTGCCTGCTAAGGCCGCCGAGGAACTTTCACGTCTAAGGGAAGTGTTGCATCATGGAAACTGCGAACGACCGTCTCAGCCAGCATACTAAGACCGCTCTGTCGTGAGGGAATGCTTTCTCTGACGTTAACTAAAAGACATGTCTAGCAGACTACTTCCATCAGCACTGTTTCACTATTCCAGTTTCATTCTAACAGGAAAGACACGAGATAACTGGGCATTGTTGGACACTAGGATTTTCCTTGTATGTCCCTCTTCTCGAGCTCTTCTTCGTTGCCCTGAAACGGTCATTCAGCAAATATGGAAGGCCCATCTGTCAGTATAGGGCTTGATTTCGGCACTACCTACAGTGGGTAAGATTACCTTGTATCTTTGCTTCAGTCACACCCAATCTGACAACCGAAAGATTGCCTGGGCTCTTGCAGGAGAGTATGAGAATGTTGAAGTAGTGTCTACATGGCCCGGCGGAGGAAACAGTGAGATATCCGATCTAAACAAGATCTATGAGCAGTCTCTGACTTGTTACAGGAACAACTCTAAAGTTCCGACAACAGTATCCTACGAGAATCGGGAATTCCAGTGGGGCTATCAAACCGGCTTATCTGGAGACACAATCCGAGGTGTCAAGCTCCTGCTCGACGAGAGCCAGGAAAGTCGTTACAGCCCAGCTCTCGCGTCAAAAAAGATTTTGAAGAGGCTGGACAAAGATGCGGTTGAGGTTTCTGGAGAGTACTTGCGGAAGCTTGTCTCCAATGTCAAAGAAGTACTGAAACGACGATTCGGAGAAGCATTCGGTAGCATGGAAATGAGATTCATACTCACCGTCCCAGCAGTATGGTCCGATAAAGCGAAAGATGCCACGTGGAAAGCAGCTGTCCGTGCGGGCATCTCTGCATCTGATATCTCTTTGGTATCAGAGCCAGAAGCCGCTGCGCTATACTGCCTCAGAAAGATTGAGCCAAATTCAGTAACGGTAATTCTCCCACACCATACAGTGAATTTCTGGCATCTCACAAAACTAGAGTAGGGACGTTATCATTGTTTGTGATGCTGGAGGAGGAACAGTTGCATGTACTCCGAAAAGCAAAGAGGATTCAGGAAAATAACGCGAGACTAGGATCTTATTTCGTACCGTCTTAAAAGTGTTGAGCCTTTGAACTTGGAGGAAGTGACTGCAGGCGATAGTAAGTTTCATCTGATAACAAAAGAAATATTAATACTGACAAGTTCAGGGGGCATCTGTGGCTCCATGCTATTAGATGAAAGATTCGAAGAGTTGCTGGAGCAATTGTTTGGGCAGACGGCATATATGACTATGCCTCAAAAAACCAGAGAGGTCGCAATGAAGTACTGGCAGGACCATGTCAAACCTAGATACGTCGGACGACTGGAAGACGATGGGTTTTCAGACGTTGATTACTTCGTGCCCATCCCTGGCGCTAGTGATAATCCAGACATCGACCTAGAAGGCGGGTTCCTTCAGCTCAGCAGGTGAATATCCAATTTAGTACAAAGCCAGCTGGAAGTGCTGATTTGTGTTTCAGGGCTCAAGTAGAAGGAATATTTGACCCTATCGTACACGAGATTGAGCGTTTAGTGCAATCACAGGTGGAGCAGATATCGGCGGTGGGATTCTCGCTAAGGTGAAAGCGTGTGCCTACCTTATTAAGAGCAAGAAGTTAACAAATTCAGGCCATAATGCTTGTCAGAGGCTTCGGTGCCTCAGAGTATCTCTTTCGCCGCCTGAAAAATGCATATCCGACCATTGATGTGATGCAACCACCAAACGCGTAAGTTTATGAGAGGGGGGAAAAAAAATCAATGTAACCAGTCGCTAACACAAATATATAGTTGGTCAGCCGTTGTACGGTATGTAATCTTCTTATCTTACATTATTGGCTACAAATATATTAAAAGGAGCACAGTGGCGCCGTAATTCGTGGACTGGACGGAAATCAAGTTGAAAGTCGGAGAGCACGACGCCATTATGGTGTGAGTTGCTACAAAAGGTACGAAGCAGAGCATCACAACAAGAACGAGGCACGTTGGGATCCCATCGAAGAAGATTGGTTTGTCGATGATCGCATGAGATGGTATGTTCGAAAGGTGAGAACTCAGAGAGATATATGTATCATACCCTGTCGAGATCATCAAACTAAAACTTGGTCACTATCTCTACAGGGCGAATCAATTTCAGAGAACGATCCGATTAAAATGAGTTTTTATCGAGTTTGGAAATGCAAGGATGCCAACAAAATAACATTCACGGAGACTTTGTATTTCTGCAACAAGGATCGGGCACCAGATGTATATGCTCCAGGTAAGCTACATCTAACCCATTTTCCCCTATTATCTTTTTTCTGTTTCGAATGGAAAAGGGGAAAAAAACGACAGAAGGACTGACCTGACCTTCAAATTTCACAGACATCCTTCCATTGTGCACACTGAGCGTTGATCTCAGCGACGTCCCAAAGAAACTGTTTCTGAAATACAGGAACTCCAAAGGCTTAGAGTATTATAAGATCAACTATGATCTGACGATGACACCCACATCAGCCTCCATTTTCTTCGAGTTGGAATACGATGGAATCTCAGACGGTACTGTGCGAGCCAAGTATTGAATGGGGTTTCTTTTCTTTTCTTTTCTTTTCTTTTCTTTTCTTTTTCCCAAAAATTCCAATTTGCGTTTGAAACCCTAACTTCTTTGCTGACAACATGATGGAGATTTGCACAACTAGCTTGACGCAGATTGAGTTGCTTAACAACGGCTTATTATTATATTCCTGGTTGTTGTAACTACATACAAACATGTACTTTCATTTGCTAGATAGATACGTGATTTATTCAAAGAATGTTTGCTTCAAGCGATCCAGGCTCATGACTCGGTAGATTGGTACACTCTTTCTTTTTTTTGTTTTTCACCCAAACATTGCGATGCGTCTTCAATTGAAGGAAAGAATTAGCAAAAAAAATTCACCCTACGCGGCTGTTTTCTTTTCTTTTTTCCCCCATCTTGCCTGGCCTAACCAGGGGGATCGGTTGGACCTGGAACTGACCTGACCTGGTCCACTCAATCTTTCACTTTGTTTATATTATATTTCGTAGATGCTCTCTCGTTATTCTAGAGGGCTTATATCTTAAACTATTTCTAGACCGGTCTGATGATGGCTGTTAAGATTTCTCCAGTTTTTTCGTTTGTTTCACGACGACGGACTTATTTAAGATTCTTGATCACATACAGTTGATTGATAGTATCAGTCAGTTTCATACTTAGAAATAAATTCCTGTCCATATGATATTTGTGTGTATGTGTAGTAAACACTATACAAAATAAGAGACAACTCTACAAATCCCTCACATCCACATCATTCTGCTCACTGACAATAGACGTCTATATTGAAATATCGGCCAGATCAAATTTATATACGGTCGTATGGACAACTCATGGTCTCATCAGTCATTCTTCAACCAAGGTTGGCGCTAGCTAGCTCTCTGCTCCAGCGCCAGCGTGAACCCCAGCCGGACCACCCGGAACACTAGCCGCCGTCGCTGAGGGCAGAGAGTCGTCCCTCTTTACGCCCATCCCAAGTTTCCCTAAGCTGTACAGGTCACAAATTTGACCTGCGGCGCGCTCTCCACTCCAATACGCGCCTGTGGTCGTGCCGAGGCCAACAAAGGGGGCCGTGTGCTCACCCGCGAACCAGATTCCCCGATCAGGACCCATACCAATCCTCATAGTTTCAATGTCCTTGTCGCCGGCCTCGAGCCCGACCTGGAAGTTGGAGTAGGACCCGTTGCCGGCAAAGGGGTCGTTCTGCCACTGAGATGCAAACAGGGCGACTGGTTTGCAATCCGCTGACGAAGGTGAGTAGTGCGGCAGGCAGGAATAGAACGGATGGAGAAAATCGTTCAGAAAGTTATAGTAACTCTCGGAGGACTGGTCTAGGTCCTTGATCTTGGACACGACGTAGGTTGCGCAAGGCCCATATAGATAGAACAGCAGAGTTGGATGAGCGCAATTTGGTGGGAGCGCCGCAAGTGAGACGCATTGCTGGTTCCAGCTCCCTTCTTTGGGGTAGTCGACATAGGACGGTTCCAAGAACTGAGTGAAAGGAGGAGGATATTCGGTGCCAGTACCGATACCCGCGCTGCCCCCATTCTTGCTTTGCGGTTCAGAGGCCACATGCCAGAAAGCGCGTGGAAATGTCACATATATCTTCTCTAGCCTGCCATAGGATATATTGTCAATGGCAGCTGACAGCCGTTGGGGAAGCTCCGGAACGAAAACAGATTTGTTCTGCTTGAGCCATCCCAGGGGACAGGTGACAACCACTTCATCGAAATGATATACTTCTCCGTTCGCGCTGGTCACGACAATTTGATGGCCAGCTCCCGGTTCCCTGCCCGCAGACTCAATCTTGATAACAGGCTCGTTGAGACGGAGATCTGCGCGTTTCAGGGCAGACTCAGAGACATATTTTAAAATATTTTTGTATGTCGATGCGACAAACAGATTTGCTGTGTGAGAAAATTAGAGCCCTATCACTGTGGTCAGCTTATATGAAAGATACTTACTCCCTTCTATGCATTCTTCGAGGCAGAAGAACCTCAAGCTCTGCTTCTCAATAGGATCCCCTACATATGCGCCCCAAAATCTGGAAAACTCCAGGCAAGCCTCCTTCTCTTCCTGAGTAAAGTCTGTCTCTTCCACCCGCTCTCGACAAAAGTCGAAAAGACTTTTACTGGCTGGGATCGCTTCCTTGTACTTATTGCTGTATTCAAACGCTTCGTCTATGGTCGTCCACATCCACTCTGCAAGTTTCGTGGTGGTGGCATCATCGTACGGCTTTCCAGCAGTATCGAAGATGGTCTCGCGTCCATCCCACTCGCAGGTCGTCGTATTCGATCGCACGCTAATTTCGGCTATGGGATTGCCATCCGTCCCGTGTATCCAGTTCGGTCCTCTAGGGTCTGATTAGCCTAGAGGCACCCAGAGAATGACGAGGCTCTTACAGATCCACGAGGTGGCCGCCGACCTCGACTTGGGCGATCTGCTTGGAGTTATTGAATGTCTCTATTGATGTAGCTTATCACGAACGCACCCTGCCACCAATCCGATCCCTTGCCTCCAGAATAGTTACTTTGGCTCCATTCTGAGTCAGAATATCAGCGCATCTCAACCCGGATATACCGGCCCCAATGATGCCGACATGGGGAACCTTTCCCATGAGGGACAGGTGATGGGACTCGGCAGAGACTGGCAATTTCTGTGCAGTCGTGGCCGGGCGACTGCTGGAGGGGCTTCTTCCGGCACGAGGAAATCGTAACCAGTTCGCAACCTGAGCCAAACAATTAGCCTTGCACTCCATTCTTGATTATAACCTAGATATGAAATCTCTCCAATCATAGATAGATAGAGGAAATTATGGTCCAAAATTGCCAACACAAAGGATGAATAGAAGCGTCACAGAAGCTACATGCGAAAGACAGATCGATCAAATAGAGCCATGCGTAACTATTGTTTGCAAGGAGCAGTCAGGTGATGCTGCTTCGCGGGGAGAGCAGCATGCGTATCATGGGAACGTTGAGATCCCACGCCAAGTCTCAACATAGCATCGATAAGCGCATCCCACATGCTCGAGTTTAGCTACATTAGCTGCATCAAACTGCGGGGACTCCACCTATCCACAGCACTAATGACCATTGCAAGATAACAGGGAGCATCGACAACAGAAGTTTAGTCGTTCATTCGACGCCTTGTTTGATCGATTGGGGCATCTTGCGTCATCAGGAACTAAAGATGAGGCGGTAGCAGATGGTAATTTCACAACGGAGGCCTCTTGCTGAAGGAGAAAAAGAAATGTGCAACCATATCACTCACCGTGCGTGATACAGCTGATAACGATGTCTTGTGACGTTCCCCGCAAGCTGCAGCGGTTTGGATGGGCTGACCTACAGAGCTCCGAAGCTGGCCCTGCCAAGCCAAAGAACCGTAGATCGAGGGCGGTGACCGAAAGCCAAACGGAGTGACGCAAATCCGATGTCTAACCAGATGGAGGGAAAAGAGTCGCATACGTGAGAAACGTTTGGTGGCCATGGGAGAAGACGTTGCAGATAAGGTTGGCTGACTTACGAAGGCGTGGCGTGGGCATGGCGGCGTCCGCCCAACTCATTCGCTGCTGCAAACATCCCCACTCGCTATCGTCCCTTACAACTCAGCAGGTGCTCTACGTCTACAACCTCGAGCTCTTAATGTCTTTCCTGAAAGAGTATCATCACAGTTCTATTTATTTTGATTCCAGTTGTGGCTTTAACACTCGTTACAAAGAAAGGAAATTGTACACGTGAGAAGGTCGTTTCGTCGCTGGAGACTGTACAGAACATTATAACCACCATGTATATGCTCTCCAGAGGCGTAAACGAGCGCAAGACATACAACGAAACAAAGGAGAGATTAACAAAGGAAAGACACTCACATACATCATAAAAGAATGGACGTCACGGGGGAGCGACATCATCGCCACGCGCCCTGACTTAGTGATAATAGTCCCTGAATACAATCCAAGTCTTCCTCCCGGCTCGAGGCACCCGATTCAGACATAAATGCCTTGACCTCGTCGTCCAGTTTGGAAGGTAGCTTGATTTCGTTCTGTTTGTTGGCATTATCACGGAGAGTCCGCAATGCTCGTTCTCGTTTGCCATCATCGACGGCGTTGTTGTTGCTGCTCATGCCTGCCTCTCTCAGCACGGGACGCCGCATCTGCGAGGCACCCCGGCGAGATCGACGTGGATTCGACATCTGTGTTCCCGGAACCCAGTTCTCCTTGTCGGAATCACCCAACTGCCAGCTGAGAAGATTATAGCTAGGAGACTTGTCGTTCCCATCCATCCTGAAGAAAGAAGAACACCAAAATCAGCACCTACAAAAAACACGTCTTTTTAACGCGTCATTCAACTCAGAGAGGCCCCTAGGCCCCGAGAAACCACCATGGAACCCCCCGATCTCCATGGTGGTGGTGTTATTCACGCGTCACCCCCGGCAAACGGCCACGCGGCAAGCCAGCTCACGGAGATCCTGGAGGTACCAGACACCCCAACCCCAAGCCGATGGAATATTCCAGGGCCCCTAGGGCTGGTTATGAATGAGACCGAGCAGGAAAATGATCAAGGAAACCATGAAGAAGTTCAGGATCCCCCTAGATTCCTTAGGGATGGTAAGGCACCATGCCAGGCCAGCAAAGGCCGCGGTATAACCAAACAGCAACGACGAGTCATCCAGAGACCCTTAGGGAATAAAGA